AAAAGCCGGGGAGTATAGTTCAGTAGGTATAAGACCTTGGGTTTAATCCCCAGCATTAAAAAAAAAAAAAAAGAGAGAGAGAAGAAGAAATCTCAAATCAATAAACCAACGTCACATCTTAAGGAACTAAGAAGAAAAAACTAAAACCCAAGATCACAGAAGTGTGTGGAAATAATAAAATTATAACAAAAATAAATGAAGTAGAGCATAGACAAACAATAGAATCCATAAAACCAAAAGTTATGAGATAACACTTGATACTCCCTCAAGTGGCTATTTTTTTTTTAAAACATTGAAAATAGCAAATGTCTGCAAGGCTTGGTGAAATTGGAACCCTCATACATTGCTGGTAGTATTTTAAAATGATACAGCAACTGTGTGACTAAGTTAAATATAAAGTAATTTGTTGATTGTGGTGGCATATGTCTGTAATCTCAGTGGCTTGAGTGAGGCAGGAGGATCACAGGTTCAAGGTTAGCCATTGCAACCTAGTGAGACACTGTCTCAAAAAATAAAAAGGACTTGTGTTGTTCATAGGTAAAACACCCCTGGGGTTCAGTCCCCAATACAAAAATAAAATAAAATAAACATAGAACAATCATATGACCCAATAATTTCACTCCTAGGCATATATTTGAAAGAATTGGGGGAAAAAAGTTCAGATGACATCTTGTTCACAGTGTTCATGGTGGCAATATTAACAAGAGTCAAAAGGTAAAAGATCCAGATTATTATCAGCAGAGGAATGGATAAATAAAATGTGCTATATCCATACAATGAGATGATGGTGATGATGATATGATTTTGGTGGTGCTGGGTATTGAACTCAGAGCCTGTAAGGCAAGCACTCTACCAACTGAGCCAAATCCCCAGCCCCCACAATGAGATATTATTGAGTTATAAAAAGAGTACAGTATTTGTATATGCTGATACATGTGTGAACACAAAATATTGTTTGATTCCATGTATGGAAATTATCCAGAATTAGACAGATCTGTGGAAACAGAAAGGGTTAATAGCTGACAAGGGCTTGAAGGAGAAAGAAAGGAATGATGGGTAAATGTTTAGTGGGTACAGGGTTTCTATTTGGAATGATGAAAATGTTCTGGAAGTTGATAGTAGTGATGGTTGAACAACATTGTGAATATACTAAATAAATTATACCTTATTAAATGGTAAAAGTGGAATTTTTATGTTATTAGTGTTTTACCATGGCAGAGGAGAGGAGCCATTGATACAAGAAGTCACTTATTTAGCATGCTAAAATTAAATCTAATGACCAGTGTTATTAGCATTTGGGGTTTGAGGGTTATTATGTGTGAGATTTCTCAAGAGAAGTTTCAAAAAGCAAATGCTGTAGGTCTTCCCCTTTCCCTGTACTGATTCCTTCAATTTGAGGTAGGATCTAGGAGCCTATATTAAGGATGTAATTATGATAATTATGGTAATTATGATACAAGTAAAACCCAGTGGCTTATTGTCAAAACAGCAGTGTTACACTGCCATGTATTGAGCATTGTAGAATGTTAAGTATTTTAGTTCCTATATATAAAAGTTTTATTTTGTGTGTGTGCTTTTGTGAAGAAAAGCAAATATGAGATTGGTCAAATCAAAAAGTTAGATTTTACGTGAATGCATGTGATAAAACTGACTTCAGAAATCAAAAGTATTCTCTATTTCTAAATTTTAATACTTTTGATTAAAATCTACATGACTTCATATCTTGTGATAAAACTGCTCCTGATCACACCAATCTACCCACCATACATTTGGTTCACTCATTCTTCTCTATAAGAAAATAAACTACTTTATATATTTAGACTTTTTATGTGAAATAGCATTCTAAGATTTGACATTATGATTTTTAGGATTTAAAATATATTTCAACAAAAACAGAACTATTTTTGAAGATTGATAATGTGAGATTTATTTGAGACCCAACCTTGAATCATGTGTTTTAAAACTGCTATGCCTAGAAAGCAAACCATTTTACTAAGAAAATGAGCAGCATTGCCTTACAAAAAGGAAAGAAGAATAGGCTGCATTTTTAGCAACTCAGCATCTCTCTATCGGTCTTTTGATAGGATTAAATCTTGTGGGCTGGGGATGTGGCTCAAGCGGTAGCGCGCTCGCCTGTCATGCGTGTGGCCCGGGTTCGATCCTCAGCACCACATACAAAGAAACATGTGTGTCCGCAGAAAACTAAAAAATAAATATTAAAAAAATTCTCATTCATTCTCTTTCTCTTTCTCTTCTCTCTCTCTCAAAAAAAAAAATCTTGTGATAATAATGATGTCCTATATGCAAGTGAGGCAGTCTGCTCACTGGTTGTAAACACTAATGGACTTAAGTTTTAAAATTTTGATCTTTGTAATATTTTGAAGTTTGATATGAGTTTTTTGTTTTGTTTTGTTTTTCTAGGCCAACCAAGCCTTCGAGAAGCTATTTCCATGTCCTGTATAACCAATGGAAGTGGTACGAACAGAAAAACAAGTCACACCAGTTCTGTTTCAATTGCAAGAAAAGAAACTCTCTCATCTGCTGCTAAAAGGTACCTATTTATAAAGGAAAAAGGAAAAATATGCAAAATTATGTGTGATACAAGTCTTCTTTTGAAAAAAATATGAAATAGAGCTGTTTGTAACTCAAGTGAGCATGTCCTTTGAATTTTTCAGTTGTGAATGAGACATCTAATCTATGCACATTGAATGTATATTCATCATTATCTGTCAAATTTTAGTAAGGAATTTTTTTTTTAAGAGAGAGATTTTAATATTTATTTTTTAGTTTTCGGTGGACACAACATCTTTTGTTTTGTATGTGGTGCTGAGGATCAAACCCGGGCCGCACGCATGCCAGGCGAGCGTGCTACCGCTTGAGCCACATCCCCAGCCCAAGGAAATTTTTGTTTCTTCCTAAGGAAAGAGAACAATTTAATTTCCTGGTTTCTTTTTAATTTTTTTCAGGAAGAATTTATTGATAAATATTTCTGTATTTAATGAAATTCTGGAAGTGAAATTTTCTTAGCAAGTGATATATTTAATAAAACATTTTAAGGGGAAAATAGAATCCTTGATATATGTCTGCATTAGTGGGAAGTTAATAACTTTTTTCTTTAACCATGACTATAAAATTAAGGTTTAATTCAAAGTATTATAATAACATTTTGTGTGCCTGTTTTTGTCTGTGTCTGCAATGTTGTTGGATGCTGGTCAGGAACGCTATGGAATTGCTACAATATAACATTTTCAGTATATTATAGATTTGAATTCTGTATGTTCTTTTCATCAATCAGTTGAATCTTGTTGCAATAAAATTGCTTATAGGACTTTTCCTTTTTTAAAAATTTCTAGCAAATTATTCCACATAGAGTTTGGAGAGACCATAGAATGCATGAAGAAAAACCTTAAATAATAGAATAATATGTAACAATATTTTAATAGGAGATGTTTACCTCAATAAACTAATACCAGTGACTGAATTTTTCATAGTGTGGAATTGTAGATGTTTAACCAAACAGGTAGCTAAAGGAGTCATAAAGAAATAACAAGATCGTAAGTCCTTTAAAACTTCCTCCTAGAATTTATTTTTTTTATTTTTTTTGAGAATTTTTAATATTTATTTTTTAGTTCTCTGCAGAACAACATCTTTGTTGGTATGTGGTGCTGAGGATCGAACCTGGGCCGCACGCATGCCAGGCGAGCGCGCTACCGCTTTAGCCACATCCCCAGCCCCCCTAGTATTTAATTGTTGAAGTCATCATGACAGAATCTAGACTTTGCTCTTTAAAGGATGCTAAAATTTGTTACCTGTCCATTTTAGGAAAAAAATTCATAGTAGAATTTGTAGTAGAACTTTTTAAATAAATATTCATATTGTAGCTAATAACAGTTTGCTTTCAGCCCATTTCATAGGTACCTGTTGTACTATAGCTATATAGTGATCAGTATCATGCACAGGAACAATTTGATAACCTAAGACCAGCTGATTTTGTTACTTTATATTACAGGGACTTTATATTTTGCTTTTAAATAATCCCTAGTACCAAAACACCCAGAAAGAAAATCTCTTTTAGTTATACTGGGCCCACATAAGAGTAGTGGCCCATATATTTAGGTTAGTTAGAAAACCAAGAACAAAGTAACTTCTAAATTTGAAAGTAATCTGATGTTTTTGAGATAAATTTTTACTTTTTAGTATGTAGTTTTTAAAAATTTGAACATGAAATAGATACTGGCCATTGTGGAGCCAAAAGGTATCAAAACTGAATCAGATTAAGAAATGTCACTGTAAAAATAACATTTTAAACTACCATAATGTGATAGTTAAATTGTGTGTACTATGTATATTAAAATATTTTTGGAATGTACTTCCTTATAGATTATGTACTTTATAGTAAAATTACAGAATAGCCTTTGTTTTAGACCTATAAGTAGTTGGTAGTTTTCTGCCTTTTCAATAATGAAATATGAGTTTTGATTCCATCTGCTTTGTAATGTTGCCAAGAGTACTCCTATCTGGTATGGTTGGGAAGGGAAGGTGACTCATGAATAAAGAATCAAAGTGTGGAATTATAAGAATTTATATGTAAATACCTTAAATATTTTAACATTCATATGTATTCATTTCTTATTTTTTTATTTAAATAAAAGGTCAGGCCTCCCACCCCATCTAAGGATGCATCTCTGATTAAATTTCTTGTTGATTGTGAAATAAAATAATGACCAAAAATAACTTTTCATAATTTTTAGTTTCATTTATTTATTTATTTTTATTTATTTTTTAGTTTTAGTCAGACACAATACATCTATTTATTTATTTATTTGTTTGTTTGTTTGTTTATGGTGTTGAGGATCAAACTCAAGGCCTCACACGCACTAGGTGAGCGCTCTACTGCTGAACCACAACCCCAGCCACTTAGTTTCACTTATAAAGGCAGAATAATAAATTTTTAAAATCTGGCAAAACAATATGTTAGAATCCATCTCTATTTCTGTGATGTTTAAAATTCTCACTCCAACTTAGTATTTTTAGTAACTCACTTTTAGTCTTTCTAGAACATTCAAGTTAGTTTTCATAGAACTTGTCATTCTCTTTCTATGTGTATTTTGTTGATTTTCTTTGTATTTAATTAACTTGCATAATTAAAATAACAACTATTGACATCAGCAGGTTTAAGGAAAAAATGAACTCTTGCTAAGATTAAAACTGAATTTGAAGGGGTCTGAAAATGGATCTCTGCCGTAAAGCACTTGCATGTGCAAGGTCCTGGATTCAATCCCCAACACTAAAACTAAATAAAACAAAACTCCATAGACAGAAGCAGGAGTATTCAAAGAAATTAGGGAATAAACATTAGCTTTTAATGTGCCTGGGGCATCAGTTTGTTTTCACAGGTAATGGAAAATGTAACTAATCCTCTCATTTCGATAGGTTTTCATTGCCCTCCACCCCCAGCTTCCTAGATGGCAACGTGCATTTGAGGTAATTTCTGTCCTTTCTGACCAGAAGGGCAGTGTTTACAGGATATATTGCCTTAGAGTTTTAATAAAATTTCTACTGAAGCTTTTTAATAATTTCCAGAGTTTTCAAAGAAATAGTTTTCCATATTGAATGAAAGCAGTAAAAGTTGTATTAGTTGTGTATGATTTAGGGTTTTGAATTATATAATAATCACTTTTCTATCATTTGATTTTTTAAAATTTGTTTAAATATGTGTTGTTCCATGTTATACTTTATTTTACAGTGGTACAGAAAAAAAGAAAGAAAAACCACAAGGACAGAGAGAAAAAAAAGAGGAATCTCATTCTAATGATCAAAGTCCACAAATTCGAGCATCACCTTCTCCCCAGTCCTCTTCACAGCCTCTCCAAATACACAGACAAACTCCAGAAAGCAAGAATTCTACTCCCACCAAAAGGTTTCAACCGTCCCCAAGTACAGAGCTAGGGAATGGTTGTAAAGATACCTAAATTCTGTGACTTGGGAAAAACTTAGCTATCCATGGATTTCAGAAGAAAAGCCTACTGGCTTTTTTTCTTTATTTTTTGATATCATATGTATTTTAGAAAATTGGGGAATGAAAATTTAAGGTTAAAATTTCTTAGTTAAAACTGGAAAAGAAATAAATTTTTAATGAACAATTTGGCAAAAGAAGGCATGAATAACCTATTTTAAACCCAAAACAATGTTTTTATAACATAGAATACTTTTAAATTTAATATAGTCATGTATAAATTTATAGCCATGGATAGAATGGCCATATGTAATTATCCGCACCACATTTTGGCATCATTACAACCTTCAACTTGCAAGGGCCCTTCTCAATAAATGGCTCTTCATTGTGGCTACCTCTCAGGTTTAGTTTTGGGTCTTGGGAGGATAAGTTCTTGCTTGAATAGGGAAACAAATTCATTTCACCTGGTGTTTTCTATGCTAAAGGCTTGCTTGAGGGCTTCTCTGTGTCCATAAAATTAGTATTTTAAAATTATGAGAGGGGGACAAGGGACAACATTCTAACAATGTGTGAGCCTAAATTGGATATTTAAACCTGCATGCTGGGAGTTTACTGCTACATCTACCTTGTAATAAAAAAACTGAGACCAATTAAATTGGCCTGTTTTAGAAGTGCAGATTCAAGTTTTATCATTAGGTATATATTTTACCATCATACTTCTGCTTAGAAATCGTAGAAACTATTAAACCATTCCCGGAACTGGATAGGATTTTAATAAAAAAATAACTATTCCTAAAGGATTTATAATAATTTTTATTTGACCAGTTTAATATTTTGTCTCAAATCTGTAATGGAAATTTGGGAAACCAAAGTACCCTTCACTTGATTGATGCACGATTACCATTTGCTTTTTTTATGTGCCTCACGCAGATTCTTAGGCTGTCTAAATGGTTTGTTATTTTTCTGCCTGGTCTGTGGAGTTATCCTTGGATATAACTTATTAATGTTATGTAACTTTGGATTGTGTGTGGTTAAAGTGGCTTTATATAATCAATCTCTTTAAGGTTCTGATATGATTTGATATCTTCTTTGTCCCGGTCTTTTTTTCAGCTTCTTGAAGTCTCCTGGAAATGTGCTTGCCCTTCTAAATTGCTCTTTGGAAATACTACTGCAAGAAGTATTGAAGCCTGGATGAGTTTTAGGATAGTTAGCAATGCAGCCAAAAAGTCATTTACAAATAAAAAGTATTCAGTTAATATAGAAAATGAGCATTGAGGGCTGGGGATGTGGCTCAAGCGGTAGCGTGCTCGCCTGGCATGCGTGCAGCCAGGGTTCGATCCTCAGCACCACATACAAACAAAGATGTTGTGTCCGCCGATAACTAAAATAAATAAATAAATATTTTTTTAAAAAAAGAAAATGAGCATTGATAATACCACTTTTTGATTGAATCTTGTTTATTTCTGATCATAGGTGAAATTGTGTTTAAAGATATAAACAAGAATTTCACCTTTAGTCTCACAATTTATTTAGAAACTGTCTTTAGAACCATATGTAATTTAATTACTTGAGGACATAATTCCATAAAAATGAAAGTTATAGCCTTACAATTCAGTGACTGTGAAAATGTACAGAATTTTTGTAACTATATTATAACTCAGATTTAAGCAATTTTTTCTGTTATCAGCAAAAAATGTATAGATTTATTTCTATCAGTGAATTTCTTCTAGTGAATATTCTTAATAATACTGAAATTTACAAAACAGACTTGGTAATTGCCTTGTTTAACTCCTTTACTCATCCAGGCAGAGCCTTTCAACTAATCCTTCCTTCTCTTTTCTGGATTGCTTTAATGAAATGTTAATAACTGCTTTTGTGTTCTACTTAAACTGTCAGTTACATGTCATTGCTACTCAGAATTTTTGGCTAAGAAGTTAATATTTCTTCTAGCATCAAACGAACACCAACAGCTGAAAAGTCACATAATTCATGGGAAAATTCAGATGATAGTCGTAATAAATTATTGAGAACAGCTTCAACATCAAAACTGATATCAAAAGTTATTAAAAATACCGACAAGTAAGTATTCTTTCTTCTTTACATCTAAATATTAATAATTCTATGACTCTTGTTTGCTTATACATTTATATTTGTCCTTTGAAATTTTTAAAAATTTGTATTATAATTTATCAGTTTTTTCTTCAGTGTATTTTTTAAGTCTTCTCAGAAAAGCTATTTCCTTCTTAATGTCCCAAATTGTAAATCTCCTATATGATTTGAATATTTTTCTTAAATTCTTTTTATTCTATCAGTGTTTAGCTGTCTGTGAGACATTCGTTGTTTTACAAAACAATGTATATTAGTAGTTGAGATCAGTTATTAGTTGAAACCAGTGAGGCATATTGATGCTTAAATTTCACTTCTGGGTCTTTATCTGGGTTGTGGGCTAGGCCCAGAGTTGTACAATTTCTTCAGATGATTCTAATGGTCAGCTGTATAAACTTATAAAATAAATGTGTTCTTTGAATTCCTTTTTTAGGCATAAAGATGTCATCATCAATCAAGGTAAATTAAAAATCCTGTAAATTTATTTTTTTGCTTTTCTACATCAGCTTAATTTTTGCTAAATGATAAGAATGTTGTCTTACTTTCATTTGGTCTACTTTATTCATAGTAATCAGAGACATGTTACATTGTTGTAGTCATTTAAAAATGCTCAATTTTTATTGTAAGATATGTCATTTTTGTTTCAACCAGCAAAAATGTCAACCCGTGAAAAAAACAGCCAAGGTAAGAATAAGCTACGCAGTTGGTCGCCTTCTAAGTTAATTTCTTCCTGGATCTCTTATTTGGCTTTTCATATGATTTCCCTCTTAAAAAAGGAAATACCATGCTAATTTGAACTAGAGAATCTGGCTACTTTTTAAAAATCCCTCTTATTTTTATGAGACAAAGAAGTATAAAATGTTTTCTCCCTTAAAAAAAGTTATACTTAGAAAAGCCATTTAAAAGATTGATAAATTTTAACTCAATTTTCTGTCTTGCCAATTTTGTTGCAAATAATCACTCATTTCTTGATGCTAAGACTGAAAATATAATGAGTCTAGCAAACCATTTCCTCTTAAGTTTTTCTTTTATATTGATTGTAATTTCTGGCTACTTGCTGTTGTTGGCTTGTTCTAACCAAACAAGGTAAGCAGACATTCTGTAAATATGTATTTAATTGCAAAGTAGGTAAGTTTTATGTATAAGTTTTACATTCTCCTTAGATTGCCTGCAAATTTAATTGAAGCATGCTGTTCTAAATGAAAGCATGTCTTTTCTGTGCATGCTTTTCAGAGCTCATTTCTATGTATCATAGTTATCTTTATTTTCTCAGCTTAAGTGTAGACAAATTTTTGTTAGAGATTTTACTTATTTCTATGGATTTTTACTCTCTTTAGTTCTAATAAGAAAAAAAAAATTTGTTATCTTCTTTGGATCATTTATCTGAAATCGTAAATGAGGTTGAGTTTTTTTTTTTTTTTAAGTTGTAGGTGGACATAATACCTTTATTTCATTTTTATGTGGTGCTGAGGATCGAACCCAGTGCCTCACGTGTGCTAGGCGAGCACTCTACCACTGAGCCACAACCCCAGCCCCAAATGAGGTTGAATTTTCATGGCTTTATTCTCTTTAGTTAGGTCTTAACTTTCTCCCTCCATACCAGTACAGAATAGATTAGGCAAAGGGTTGAGATCCTTTAAGGAAAAATGAGATTTTATTTACAAAAACAATTCTTACTATGTTATATATTGAAACTTCTTTTTTCTTTTTTAAATAGAGGATGTGGTATATAGTTGAAATGACAGCAAATGGACAGTTGCTGTGTTTATTGTTTGGTCCTGGCTCTTCTGTATAATAGTTTTTTGACCTAGGCCAAATGACAGTATCTCTTAAGTAGTTTTCTACTCTTAGAATAATAACTATAAAACTTAATTTATATGACTGCTAAAGGATGAAATATATGTGAAAGTACTTCAAAAATAGAAAACACTATAACTATAAATAGGTGCAGTTATTATTAAATGGTTTGCTAAAACCTCATATTTTTAAAAATCATTGTGGAGTTAATAAGGACAGGCTACCTGACGTTTTAGTTTGTTCTTTTGAAAGAAAAAGAACTTATGATTAATACATAAGAGTGATTTGTGTTGATATCACAATTTTCAAAATCAGGTAAACAAGGTAATGTATTTGAAAGGTGGAGATTTTGCTTTAGAAGCATCCCTTAGCACAGTTTTAGCCAGTACCTGGGGAGAAGGATGGAATGAAAAGTTGGGAAAGGATATAGAAAAATAAGTTAAGTTTTGTTACAAGAACTTTACCTCAAAAAGATTGGCTCAGATCTCTGAAAAAGATAATATCCCAATGTTGCCTGCATTGAGACTTAATTTTGGAATTTGAGTCTACTCCTTTGCTATTCTAATCACTGTATATTATCTGGAGAATAGATTTTAATCATTCAACAGTATCTGCAAGGAGAACTTTGTTTCTTCCGTCTTTTATATAATTCAAAACTGAATGAGTTTGGGCAGATCCTATAGAAAGAAGTGGATGGATTCAAGATGGTTTATGGATAGGCAGAGAATGAGAGGTGAGGAACAGAGGAATCTATGAAGACTAGCGTGAACAACTAGTTAAGTGACATCTGCTGAAATAGGAAACATTTGAGGAGAAATAGTATGTACAAAAGAATAGGAACTTGGTTTTGAACAATTGCACTTTTTTTTTTAACTTAACTCTTCATGTAGGGATATATAGCAGGCAACATAATATAGGTATTTAAATGTGGATTTTGAAATCCAGAGACAGGTTTCATCATAGCTCTAGTAACCCTGAATGGGTTAGTTTACATCCCTATGTTTTTGTTTTCTCATCTATAATTGAGATAATAATAAACCTTCAAAGGGTTATTGTAAAAATTAAGAATGGTAATAAAGTGTTTTAACACAATACCTGGTACATAGTCCCAAATATATTTTATTTAGCGTCTGGCATTTTTAAAACCTTGCATTTAAATGGTAGAGTAAGATGATATCTTTTGAATAGATGCTCTTCACTTGCTTTAAGTTGTAGATCTGTTTTAAAAGATTGGCATTCATTTTGCATGGCATAGTCACAACACATTTTCTTAATATTTTAGCTATTAATACTATTATCTGTCACTTTTGGACAATTTTTTAAAACTATGATTTATTAATCTCTTTAGCTCTTTTTTGACAATGACAGCTGTGACTTGTTCCAAGCCATCTGCTTTGATTTGGGAAGAAGCCTATTTACATTTGGTACATTTAGGTGAGTGGTAGTAGAGAAAACTACCTAAAAGGTTTTGCCCTTCAGGCATAGCAGTATAAGAGAAAAGTGATGTGGCTTCATGTACTGATCAACATTAAGGAGTAAGGCAGGAAGTCAATGATTGAAAACAATAGGAAGTGGAATAGAATGTACACAGGACAATCTCTGAGGTTAGGTGTGGAGAATAGGACAAATTATATCACTAAGGAGGTTCTTACCTGGATTTTTATTTGTACTTTGAAGCGTGAACCCTTTTTCATTAATCTTCATGGTTCTGGGTTCTCTTCTACTTGGAGCTAAGATAAAGTCCTTGCAGCACAAGATCTTAAAATTTGAATAAATTTTCCCTTAGGACTATTTGCTGTTAGATGTAGCAGTCAGTTTCTAGAATAATACTATTTAATTGATAAGTTACTGATACAAAAATGTTGAGGTTTTTTGTTTGGGTTTTTGTGAATCTGGGTGTCATATCCAGGGCCTTATACATGTTTGGCAAACAGTCTACTAAGTTACATCCCCAGATTAAAAAAAAAAAAAAAAAATCTGTGTTAATTTTGGAGACTGTAGGCACCTATTGGGAAAATAGGTAAGTCTGAAATATTTTGTAATCAAAATGAGCACAGCTGATGAGCTCATTCTTATAATAGATATCAAATATAATGTTTTACATTTTTATTATTTTTTATGTTCCAGGATCAAGCCCAGGGCCTTGCATTCTACTACTGAATTGCATCCACAGCCCACATTTTTTTCCATACAAAAACTTAGTGTCTGCCAGATGCAATGGCACAGGCCTATAAATCCTGTGACTCAACTGAAGAAGAGGATTGCAAGTTCAAAGCCAGCCTCAGCAAGGCCCTATTTCAAAATTAAAAAAAAAAAAAAGATATAAAAAGAGCTTGGCATGTGGCTCAGTGATTAAGCACACCTGGGTTCAATCCCTAGTACCAAAAATAATTATTATAAAGAAGAAGAAAAGAAAAAGTGTCACATGTCATTATTTTTAAAAGCAGAACCTGAAGGTTCTCAAATTGGTTGGGCTGGGGATATAACTCAGTTGATAGAGTGCTTGCCTCTTATGCACAAGGTCCTAGATTCAATCCCCAGCACTACCCGCCCCCCCCCCAAAAAAGTTGCCTGTTACTACTTTTTCAAACGTGAATAATCTTTAACCAATTTTTACCTTAGTATCATAAACTAAGTTCTATTTATTTTTTGGGCTATTTATTTTTTGACAAAATTGCTTGTATTTATTGTATATATTCTGAAGTATATATATTTTATAGAATGATTAAATATAGTTAGTTAATAAATGCATCACTTCACATATTTATCACTCTTATGGGGAGAACACTTAACGTCCACACTCTTGGCATTTTTCCAGAATACCGTGTACCATCACTAAGATCACCATGCTATACAAACTGGTGGCCTTTATGCAGCAGGCCAAATAGATGTATTTTCACACTTTCCTTTTTTTTTTTTTTTTTGGTCAAAGACATAAACATTTAAAATTGAGAGATTTCATAATAAATTACAGATTTTCAGTTTCTTTTGAAAATTGAAAAGATCTTGTAATGTGGGACCCATATCACTCATGGACCTGACTAGGCACTGCCTCCCTGAGATGGTCACAACCCCAGTCATCTTTTACTCTCCCACTTCTCTCATTTGCATTTCCTTTCTGGTTTTACAGATATTTGAATATGTAACCCTTGTTTTAAAGTGTGTCTGATAGAATCAGCAGAATTCTGGCCTATTTGTCCATTATTATCCACAATATCACCTTAAGACTTATGAAGAAATAATATTGTATATAAGTCACATAAGCAATTGCTAGACAGTTTTTAAAATGGTCACAAATCCTTCTCAAAGGGAGGGTAATAAATAATTATCAAGACCTCATTATGCCTTACAATGTGATCATAATTCTAAGCAATACTTAGTGTTACCATTTTATGTATTAGGAATATGAGGCCAAAGTTTCACAGCCAGAAAGGGAGTAAAGCTGGAATTCAAATCCCAGTCAGTCTTTTGCAAAGCTCATGTTCTTTCTACTATAATGTATTGCTTCCCTCTCAGTTCCAAGAATTGCTTAAAGTGCTTAAATTATATTATTGGTCTCTAACATGTATAGATCAGAAAAGCATTTTTATCCTAACATGATTTTCCCTTTTTTATATCATATTAGAAAAATTGGCATGCACTGGTATAGCTCCTTTGCTTTCCCATTTATCGGTGTTGCCACTTGACAGTTAATAAACCAATGAATACAGTATTCTAAGCTGTCTGTATTAGCAGAAAAGATCTATTTGTGTATATACTACTACTAACCTTTTCCCTTTGCTAAACATACATTGCCTTTAAATGGCAATAGAAGCATCTACTAAATGTTGATCATGTGCACCTCTAATCAAGAATCCTGGAAAAAAATTTTAGAGGGTAGGATGTCTGCCTTTAAAAAAATGTGTTAAAAAAAAAAACAACTGGAAGGAAAGTTATGTGACAAATCAATACCTAATACCTTAAGAGAATAAACTTAAAAAGGACAAGGAGATACAAATTAGAATGACTGTAGAAGGGAGAGATCTACAGCTGGTAATCATTTAGTTATCATTAAAGTCCAGCTGTGATAAAAAATCACCAGGAAGCAGAGCCCACTCTTAGATTCAAAGGTAATAAAGACATACATCATGTGGTGTTAAACCCCATAGTGTGGGAGTTCAGATCAAACTGTGAGACTGAGCACACTGAGTAATAATAATAAAAATAACTTGAACTTCTCACCCATACCAAACACAACTTTTTGACCCGACTCTGAAAAAAATACTTGCAGATATTTAGCAATTTATTTTATCTTCTTCTTTTTCATGGTTTGCATTATATAAGCAACTGAATTATGAATTACTGGATTATGTATAATTCTCCTTAGTTAGCTCAGGTCATTATTGGAGATCTTAAGATCGCATCTACCTCTGGTTGATGGTCATATTTTCAGTCTGCTTCATTGTTGTTTTCATTTCATGTCAGAAAATTGGCAAATGCTAGACATTTCCTATGCCTTTACACCAAATCCCTTTGTTTCTCTTTCCCTTTTAGATTGTTTTGTTGCCATTTTATAATCACCATCAGCATTTACTAAACCTATCTGTAATGTAGATCATCCCTGCTAGGGACAGGGATGAGTGGGGTTTTGTTGTTTGGTTTTTAAGGAATAAGAAACAATCCCATTTGTTTTGTGAAGTGTTGTTTCCTTTTGTAAAATACATATAATAAATACTGATTTGGTTCTAGATTTGGTTTTTTAAAGCATCGTTAGCTTTAAGACTATTGAAGGTCTTCTAAACATTGGAGATCTATTGGTTTATATAATTAAAAGATGTTTTAGAACCTATGCTGCTAATAGGAAAATGGTTTCTAGGCTTGGGGGTGCAGATTAGTGGTGGAGTTTCTGCCAAGCATATTTGAAAAAGGTCCTGAGCTCAATCTTGAGTACCACCAAAAATTTAAAAATGATGTTTTCTAGCACTGTCTTGACAATGTTAGTGTATTATAACTGAACTAGATGTTCTAGATGCAAGGCACAATTGTGAAGTGAGAGAAGTCTGCCTTCTCCTTTCTAGCTCTACTTACTGCTTAGCCTAACTCTTAATCCTTTTCCTAATCCTGATTTATGAAGGTGTTTGACTCCTTTCCGCATGGTATATTCTGAGATCATGGTTTTGTTTTTGATTATGTTAAGAACACTTAACATTAAGTCAGGCACTGTGGCATACCCCTGTGATTCTAGTGACTAGGGAGGCTGAGGCAGGAGGATTGCAAGTTCCAGGCCAGCCCCAGCAATTTAGCAAGACCCTGTCTCAAAATATATATATAAATAAATAAAATGGCTGGAGATGTATGTATCCCTGGGTTCAATCCCTAGTACCAAAACAAACAAACAAACAAACAAACAAAAACCCAACCACTTAACATGAGATCTATGTTCTTAACAATTTTTAAGAGTATATTATTATTGGGCTGGGGATGTGGCTCAAGCAGTAGCGCGCTCGCCTGGCATGCTTGCGGCCCGGGTTCGATTCTCAGCACCACATACAAACAAAGATGTTGTGTCTGCCGATAAATAATAAATTTTAAAATTCTCTCTCTCCCTCTCTCACTCTCTCTTTAAAAAAATATTCTTTAAAAAAAGAGTACATTATTATTGATTACAGGTACAGTGTTATATATAATGGCTCTTATTCATCTCACTTGGCTGAAACATTACCCTTTGATTAGTAGTTCCACATTTCCCTTTTCCTTTTCCTTTGGCTCCTGGTAACCACCATTCCTTTCTCATTCTAAGATTTCTACTATTTAGATGCATAATATGAGTAGAATCATGCTGTGTCTTTTTGTATCTGGCTTATTTTCTTAACAAAATGTCTTCAAGAGCCATCCATGTTGTTACACATTATAAAATTTCCTGCTTCTTAGAGACTAAATGAATTCCATTATGTTTATGTATTGAATTTTCTCTATCCATTCGTCTGTCAGTGGATGTTTTTTTCCACATCTTGGCTGTTATGAATTGCTCTACTGTGAACATGAAATGAAAATGTTACTATCTCTTTAAGATCCCGAGTTTTAATTCTTTTGGAAAATACCCAGTAGTGGGATAGCTAGATGGTATAGTAGTTCTATTTTAATTTTTTGAAGAACTTCTGTCTTATTTTCTGAATTGACAATACAATTTTGCATTCTTACAAGAAGTGTGTAAGGGTTCTAATTTCTCCACATCTTTATCAACATTTATTTTTTTTGCCTTTTTCTTTATATAATAGCTGTTCTGACAGATGTGAAGTGATGTCTCATTGTGGCTTTGATTTGTATTACCCTGTTAATTACTGTGTCAGATATTTTTCATAAATCTGTTGGTCCTTTTTTATGTCTTTGGAGAAATGTACATCCAAATATTTAACCTGTTTATTTTTATTAAAAAATAAAAATAAATTGTTGATGGACCTTTGTCTATCTATATCTTTATCATCTATATCTGTATGTGCTGCTGAGAATCAAACCCAGTGCCTCACCCTAGCCCATACTTAACCCATTTTTAAATCAGTTAGTAGGTTTTCTTTTTCTGTTAAATAATAGGCATCCCTTATATATTTTAGAGATTAACCCCTTACTAAATACATAGCTTGCAAATATTTTTCCTGTTTCATAAATTGCCTTTTTACTGATTATTTTCCTTTGCTGTGCAGAAGCTTTGTAGTTTGTGGGATATGGTTTTTATGTGTTATTAAGCTCAGTAAATAGATCAAGTAGTATGATGAAATGATTATTGCCTGTCCAAATAATTTTTTTCTTCTTTTCAACAGTTTGAGAAACTTCCATCATCAAATTGTTTTCTTTTGCATCTTTCTACATAAACCTTCCTGGGTGCCTTGTAGAAATGTGTACATTCAAGCAGATAAATTGTATTTTAATTATGAAAATAGTTATTCTCAATTAAAAGTTGCCAATGATTTTTCCTCCAATGGTTTGAACTAGATCTTTAGAGTATCACTTTGTTTTCTATATGCTATACAATATATAACAAAACAACTATATGTCATGAAAATAAAAACTTTGAAGTAACTGTTTTCATTTTGTTTTTATTATATCACCTTAATGATCCACTTTTCTATGATTATAAAGAAAATATGTATGGCTTAATTTTTTTCCTGAGGATCTCAATGATGACTTCATTCTTGTGTTTCAACAGAAGGAGAATATATTAAAATGTTTATGCGAGGTCGGCCGATTACGATGTTCATTCCTTCTGATGTTGACAACTACGATGACATCAGAACAGAACTTCCTCCTGAGAAGCTGAAACTGGAGTGGGTGTATCCTTCCCTAAGATGATAACAAATTTATTTGCTTTGTCTCCAATTAAAGGAAAATTGATTTATCTAATCTATCAAAATTTTCTTTATGCAAAAAAGTAAATATAATAAACATAACAATCACTTCAGAAATTAAAAAGAAAACACTCTAATCCTTTCATATATTGTATATTTTGCTCTTAACAATTTTAAGCCTTCAGAATTAATAGAGAAAAGGGCAGCAGTATTCTGTAAACATCACAGTAGGTACAGGACTAGAATTGAAAGACTAGCGTTTGAGTCTTGGCTATGCCACTTATCTCCTATGCATCTTCACTTTCTTCACTTATAAAAAGGATATAACCCCTGTCTCATAGGGCTATTGCCAGAATTTAATAAGAAAACATTGATTAAGCATTTTGTAAGCTGTGAAATGATTATGTGGTCATTAAATTAACAAAGTTGATTCTAATTCCAAAATTCTGTGCAAGACTTTTAAAAAATGATATTTAACACAAAACGTTTCTAATTTCACCCGGAAATTCTCACTTTTCTTAGAAGTTTTAAGAAACCTAGTGAAGCAGAAAGGAGTTAGTAGTGTAAACTCTAATCTCTGCCTTCATTCTCCCACACACTTTGAATTCCTTGCATTAGGCAGAAATCAGCTTGGGAAAATGCACCAATTCTGTAATTTGGTACAACTTTTTGTTTGGCACTGAGGATTGAACCCAGAGTCCTTAACTGCTGAGTCACATCTCCAGCCTTTTTTAATTTTTATTTTGAGTTAGGGTCTTGCTAAATTGCTGAGGCTGGTTTTGAACCTACAGTCTTGCCTCAGCCTCCCAAGTCACTGTAATTATAGGTATGCACCACCACACCAGGCTGGTACAACTTATTTTTAACAAATGTTCTATCTACGAAACTGGGCCTGAATATCCCTTATTTATCATTTTAGGTCCAGCATTAATGTTGTTTTTCTAGGTGAGCCTTCTTTTGTTCCTTCCTTTGTCTCCCTCCATCTAAAGTAGGTCCTTTGTTTATGTTTCTCCTGCATACTATTATTTTTCTTTCCATGTTTGTAATTATATATTTGCTGATTGTGTATATCTTCTAGAATAAGCTCCAGGGACATAGCCCATGTTTGTTCTGTTCAGAATTGTATGGTACATACTAGGAACTAAATATATATTTTTCTGGTGAATGAGGAAACTAAGACTAAACATAGTAAAAGGCCCAGGTTGTACAATGATAATGGCAAAATATGAGTTTTCTAAATCTATTCCAGTTCTCTTTTCATCAACCTTCCTAATTCCCTATGTATCCTTGAAGAAGATAACACTTTGAATATTATTAAAAACCTTGACTCTTATCTTTTAAGATATGGTTATCGAGGAAAGGACTGTCGAGCTAATGTTTACCTTCTTCCTACGGGGGAAATAGTTTACTTCATTGCATCAGTGGTAGTACTATTTAATTATGAAGAGAGAACTCAACGACACTACCTGGGTCATACAGATTGTGTGAAATGGTTAGTATCATTTAATGTTTGTTAATTTTGTTCTTTGTGTCCTCCTTTTTTGTTTTGTTTTTAAAGTTGGGTTGTATTAAAAATGATTTTTTTTTTGTGGAAAACTCAGAATGTGAGGATATTATAAATATCCTGTAGAATAAATTTTAAAAGAAAAAAGGACTTTGAGTCCTTCAAAATGGTTGGTATAGTATAGGCAGCAAATTTCAGGTAGAATCTACTCTGCTTTCTCACATCCCTTTAATCCTTTTCTTCAGTTCTGTAGTATGAAATACATGTGGGAAATACATGTGGGATAAATTTTGAGAGTTATTATTGGTTACTCAGTGTTTATTAAGAATTTATTCTGCATAGATAAATTTTACATTTGAGGCTTTTCTTTTTTAGGAAAAAAATCATGGCTGAGGAAGAATCATAAGTATCTCATAAGGTCTCACACTATAAAAATATAACTCCTTTTTTTAATTTGGCAAATTTAGCTTCTCTAATTAAATTCATTTATTGTTCAAGCCATTATTTTCTGACATTTGAAAGCTTTGCTTATACTATTCTGGCAATTATAGCTTAACTAAAATTAACACGACTGTTAACAATATTATATAGATAGTTGAATTTATAGAGAAAATTAAACTATTGCCTTTTACACTTGAAGAATAATATAGTACAAAATCACTACAACATTTTGATCATAAAGATTACAAACAAACAACCTTTCAGTTGGGGATTGTATGTTAATATGGAAAATCCCTAACATATACTCTCAAGTATACTTTTTAAAAAAAATTTTTTTTAGTTGTAGATATCTTTATTTATTTATTTTATGTGATGCTGAGGATCATCAAGCCCAGTGCCTCACACATGTGAAGCAAGCACTCTACTACTGAGCTACAGCCCCACCCCTACTCCCAAGAACACTTTTAAAGAGCAGGAGAATGTGCATGTGTTCTGCCATTTGTGTAAGAAAAGAGTGGAAAATAAATGTTTTCCGTGTATATAAAATTTTCTTAGAATTACTAATAAAAAGAAACATGTTATAGTGATTACATTTAGAAGCTTCAGAAGATAAGGATAGGGACCAGATAGATGAGATCTTAGCAGTTGGGGCAGGTGGGGAAGAGACTTTTCTCAATTGTATTTTTTATACTTTTGATATTTGAACCGTGCAAAAATGTATTTCCCAAACCAGAAATGTTAGTTTTAAAAATTCATATGAAAGGAGAGATTTAAGTTAGATATGGCAAAATGTCAACGTGTTAGATTTTAATGTAGTTGATCTCACTATAGGATGTAAACTATTTTAATAAGAGGAAATGGAATTAAACATTGAGTTGGGCATGGTGACACACACCTGTATTCCCAGCAACTTGGGAGGCTGAGTCAGGAAGATGACAAGTTTGAGGCCAGTCTTGGCAGCTTAGCGATACTCTGTCTTACAATAAAAAGGGCTGAGATAGCTTGGTTGTAAAATGTCCCTGGGTTCAGTCACCAGTACCACAGGGAAAAATAAAAGAAACATCAATAAACTCTAATCTACTTAGTAATTGAAGAAAATAAGATACCATTTATACCAAATTATTATCATTTTGAAGCACACCTTTCTTGGGGTGCTGGGGACTGAATCCAGGACCTTTCATATTTCTAGGCAAGTCCTTTACCATTGAGCTACCTTGCCAGCCCCTTAAAATACATAGTTCTTAATATAAGAAAGTTATAGAACTTTTAGAACATTTTTCTCTCTATGAAAATTTGAATTGAGGCTATTATTCCAGAAAATAATTAGCAGTACATTCCAAGTAACAAACAAAAATAGTGTTTTCAGTAGAACTTACCTGTTGTGGCAAGATACAAAAAAAAATATAGACTTGGACATGAAGACATTTAAAATTTTTTTTAATATTTATTTTTTAGTTATAGTTGGACACAATATCTTTATTTCACTTATTTATTTTTATATGGTGCTAAGGATCGAACCCAGGGTCTTATACATGCAAGGCGAGTACTCTACTGCTGAGCCACAACCCCAGCCCCCACAATATTTTTGATAATCAATTGTATGTGTACCGTGAATAATTTTAGCATTGTTTTCCATTTTTATTTAAAAATTCTTTGCCCCGAATTTGACGTGCTAAGTGTAGCATTAGAACTAATTAAAAAGTTGATGGCATTATTTTTAAATATTTTTTCAGTTAGAGATGAACATAATACCTTTATTTTATTTTTATGTGGTACTGAGGATCAAATCCAGCACCTCATGCGTGCAAGGCAAGTGCTCTACCACTGAGCCACAACCTCAGTCCCAGTTGATGGCATTATGATATTGACTGTTGTTTACTTTTTCCCCTGGTAGAAAAGTAGAAATCACCCAAAAGATGAAAGAATTGCTAAGTCAGTAATAATGCATAAGGATTATGTGGGAAAATGAAAAAAAAAAAGCTTCTGTTTTATTTGATTAGAATTATACCACACAGGGGGCTGGGGATGTGGCTCAATCGGTGGTGCGCTCACCTGGCATGCGTGCGGCCCAGGTTCGATCCTCAGCACCACGTACAAAAGAAGATGTTGTGTCCGCTGAGAACTAAGAAAAAATAAATAAATATTTTTTTTAAAAAAAGAATTATACCACACAATATTACATCTTTAAATAAAACCATATAGTATGTATACCTTTATACATGGACTAGAAAGGAACTTGCACAAATGAAAACAATTTAGTTTGTTAACCATGCCACAGTTGTGGATATTTTCTTTGAATTTAATTTCTATTAATTTGTTAAACTTAACAAAGAAACACTGAAAACTTAAAAATCTTCAGATAATTGATGTTTACTTAATTTCCTAAAGAAAATAAAATAGAACAAAGTGAGTTTTTTATGACAAAAAACTAAAAACACATTGATATAACAGTGTGTTTCTGCTGTTTCTCATGGTTTTTGTGTTTAAAATTATTGTTGATACTACTTTTCTAGCCTTGCTATTCATCCTGACAAAATTAGAATCGCAACTGGACAGATAGCTGGAGTGGATAAAGATGGAAGGGTAAGCAGCACAGATTTATGCATTTTGTATCTAGTGATAATTGCTGTTTGAATGGAATTGATTGTAATTTTTAAACTACAACTTGTTTTCAGAATGTAACTACTAAAGGATTTCTAGCAAAAGCAGGGAAAAAATTTTAAGACTAAGAATATTTGGAAAAAAAGAAAGAATCAAACTACTAATTTTGTTTTTCTAAATAATAAATGTTCTATAGGGAAATTATTATAAAATCCTTATTTGCCAAAGGTACTTCAGTTATCCTTAGTTGGTGGGACCTCTCGATTTTATGTATTAGGAGAATTAATATCGTTTAGAGTTTCAGTTACTGTGTAATGTTTTAAAATTGGCTTATATAATAAATCTCTTCTTTTTAAGATCAGTAGTGAATATTGATGGTGGTTGATAAACATGTTTGTATTCATGACATTCTGTTGGTTCAATTTCTTTAAAGGAGTGTGGGGTAGGGGGAGATTGTATGGAGTTATTTTGAAAGATCCCTTCCAATTCCATATTCTATTTGAGGACTAGTTGCTTAGCAATTTATTGGACAATGATTTTCTCAGATATAAAGGTAGTGCTAAAAGCTAAGCATCCAACTGGCACATACCTGTATCCCCAGCTACTCTGGAATCTGAGGTGGGAGGATCCCTTGATTTCACAAGTCTCTATACTAACTTGGGCAAATACAGTGAGATCCTGTCTCTCAAAAAAGGGGCGGGGGGGGGGCAAAGTAATCCAGAAAAAATTTACCTGCATTAGAATTCTGATTTTACCTTTTAGTAGCTGTATAACTTGGGTCAAGTTATTTAAATCTCTGTATATTAGTTCCTCCATCTGTTAAATAATATTTGATAATCATATCTATAGTATTTAACTTTATGAATATGAAATGTTTTAATACATGTGACATATGGAGAACATGTGAAACATAGTAAATAGTCAAATAATTTGGTATGAGAGAAAAGTACCTACTCAAGATTCTTTGGGGAAATGTCTAAATCTGGTAGTTATTGTCTTACTAGACATCTGTTCATCCCTTTTACTTTTTGTAGGTGACACCAGTTCTTTGTGGTATGTATTGCATCACGAGTTAGTCTTGCTGTTTTGTGTTTTTTGTAGCCCCTGCAACCTCATGTCAGAGTGTGGGATTCAGTTAGTCTATCTACGCTGCAAATTATTGGACTTGGAACTTTCGAGCGTGGAGTAGGATGCCTGGATTTTTCAAAAGCAGTAAGTAACAATGTTTAAAGAAGTAAGCAAACTAAAAGAGATAGAATGGAAGATCAGTTTTTTGTTAATATACACTGAAAGATGAGATGTTAGCTATTGCTTTTTTAATGGCTAGCATTTTAACCTGAGAACTACATTTGTTTTGTAAAAAATCAAGATAGGAGGCAAGCGGGACACTATGGCACACACCTGTAATCCCAGAGGCTCAGGAGGCTGAGGCAGGAGGATCATGAGTTTAAAACTAGTCTTAGCAAAAGCGAGGTACTAAACAACTCAGTGAGACTCTGTCTCTAAATAAAATACAAAATAGGGCTGGGGATGTGGCTCAGTGGTCAAATGCCCCTGAGTTCAATCCTGGTACCCCAAAAACGATAGGAAGAAAGAGAGTTGGGGCACACCTGTAATTTTGAAGACTTAGTAGGCTCAGGTAGGAGGATCTCAAGTTGAGGCCAGCCTCAGCAACTAAGCAAGACTGTAAAGCAAAATAAAATAAAAAGGACTAGCATGTAGCTTAGTCGTAGAAGGTCTCTGGATTCAACCCACAGTACCACAAACAGAAAATAGGATCAATATACTATACTTAATTGAACTTAATTTTTTTCTATCCTGAGATAGGATTCTAGAATAGTTGTAGGAAATGGTTGGAGGAATATGTTCATAGTATAGTACATTTTGAAGTAAGCAGTAGGATATGCCTTAATTTCAGTTTGAATCATAGGAGAGATCTATCTTTTAAAAATTCAGACATGTTGGGGCTGGGGTTGTGGCTCAGGCGGTAGCGCGCTCGCCTGGCATGCGTGCGGCCCAGGTTCGATCCTCAGCACCACATACCAACAAAGATGTTGTGTCCGCCGAGAACTAAAAAATAAATATTAAAAAAATTCTCTCTCTCTCTCTTCTCTCACTCTCTCTTTAAATAAAAAAAATAAAGTAACACAAATCTTATAATTATACTTATTTTTAAAAAAAATTCAGACATGAAATTTGGCCCATCCTGCAAAATCATTGGCTTTTCTTGGTGTCATAACGGAGCAAAAATCATGAAATATCTGAATTAATGCAACACATATTTAACATTTTGTGTCTGTCAATCTCATGTGATAATCCTAGGGGGAAAATAAGACAGGATGTTAATAAATTTAAGCATTTTCTTTTTTCTTGATTAATATGTAATGATGATTATAGAGTATGCAGAAGACCATCTACATCTTAGGTTTTATATTTTTAAATTTCAAATATAAATACCCCTTAGAATTTATTGGTTCTCACTTACACTTCAGAATATATTTATGTGTTCATATGATCTCTTTAGTTCTCATTTGTCAGCAGCTATATTCTGTTATGGGAGTTTTGTGGGACATGGAAGAAGGGACACTTTTAGAGCAGAAAATAAATCTGAATGAATTTAGGAATTTTTCTAGCTTAAAGACATTGAATGTCAGAGGTCTAACGTATCAAAATTAGGAAGAAGTAATTTAGAAAAGAAATATTGGCATTACCCCCCACCCCCATGCCCCAATCTCTATAGCAGGAACTCTTGCTTTGTTTTTGGTAGCATTGTTATAGTGTTACAATGGTCTTGAATTGCTCCATAATCTTTTTCTGATTCTTATATAATTCCAATACAGGCTGAGATAAAGAGAAGACTGAACTGTGTCCTTCCTTAGTATCTCTCATTCTTCCTTTACAACATTGTTTCCCTAATCCAGAGATATTGCATTATTTCTCTATTCTATATACAAAAGGAAGCACATTCCATAAGTGCTACTAGAAAAAAAATTGTTTAATACCATCCATAGTTACTAACCTAGAGACTTAAATTATATGAAAGAAAATGGTTTCAGGAAAATAATATTTAGTTCTGTTTTTATTTATTCATGTGAATATAAGATCACAAAAATTTGAAATTAGCAAATTTTAAAATAGTACTAATCTTATCAATAGAAAATTTATAAAATTATGTACATTTCTTCCTACCTACTTCATGGGGAAACACCTTGAATATTTTCCAGCAGCACAGAGGAAGCATAAGCCAAAGGGATTAGAATATCTTCAGAAAAAACTATTTGCCCTAGTGGTTCGGGAGGCTGAAGCAGGAGGATAGTGAGTTCAGAGTGAGCCTCAGCAATTTAGCAAGGCCCTAAGCAATCAAGGCCGTGTCTCAAAATTTAAAAAAATTAAATTAAATTAAAAACAACAACAAAAGGGTGGGGATGTGGCTCAGTGTTTAAGTGCCCTGGGTTCAATCCATGCTATCTAAAAAACAAAAAGAATTATTTGTTGTCACTAATTAATAGAAGTGACTAAATGGCAAATGGGAATCAATCTAAGGGAACAATTTAAAAATAGGAAAAAAAATAAGAATTTATATCATTGAAGAAAATATAGTTTTATTAAATAGTACATTCATTATGTTTCAGAGAACATTATGTTTAAAAGATTTTGGATTATCATACTGTTGGTAGTTAGTTTTTTTGTTGTTTTGTGGTGCTGGAGATTGAACCTAGGTCCTCATGCATAGTAGGCATTTTCTTTCCCACTGGGCTACATCCTAGCCCCTCTGTAGGCAGTTTTAATAATGGAATTTCCTACTTGGAAAGTAAAACCTATCTCTGGGCACGGTGGTGTACACCTATAATCCCAGTGATTCAGGAGACTGAGGTAGTAGTAAGATCACAAGTTTGAGGCCAGCCTCAACAACTAATTGAGACACTCTCTCACAATTTTAAAATAATAATAAAAAGGGATAGGGATGAAGCCTAGTGATAGAGCAATCCTGGGTTCAATCCCCAGGGCCACCACACATACATCAAAAAAATAAAAATAAAACTTATTCAGGAATTTTTAAATGCTTTTAATTGATTTTTCTTTAGGATTCAGGTGTCCATTTATGTGTTATTGATGATTCCAATGAGCATATGCTTACTGTTTGGGACTGGCAGAAAAAATCTAAAGGAGCAGAAATAAAGGTAAGTCAAAATAATTTTTAATTGAGTATCATCTTTCAGAGTACATGATTTGTTTGGCAGGTATTTGGAGCCACTGTGATATGTGTACCTTTAAGTTGCAAGTATAAACACACTGGGCAAATTCATCAGATTTACTAATTTTTAAATATTCTATGGTATTAACACTACAGTTATACAAAATAAAAGTCTAGCGTCTTGAAGTAGTTTCAGTATTTCAGACATTGTGTAACTGAAATGTCAGTAGCACAGTGGGTAGAAGGATGTCTAACAATTAAAGACTCAACACTCTACTTGACTACTGCTGCTTTAACAGATTTGTAATTAATTTTATTCAATATTTAAAGCTTTAGAAATCTAGAGGAAAATTTCACCCTTAAGAATGTGGCTGTCGGGCCAGGGTTGTAGCTCAGTGGTAGAGCGCTTGCCTAGTATGCGTGAGGCCCTGGGTTCGATCCCTGGCACCACATGAATGTATGAATGAATGAATAAAGGCATTGTGTCCATTAAAAAAAAAAAAAAAAAGAATGTGGCCTTCATAGGGCTAAGGGTATAGCTCAGTTGGTAGAGTGCTTACCAAGCTTGCACAAGGCCTTGGGTTCAATCCCCAGTACCACCACCAAAAAAAAAAGTGGCTGGCATAACTGAAATGCATATATAATAATTAGTTTTTTGGTTAAAATTATGTTTATAGGATTATTGTAGAAAATGCTATACCATTTATAATTGCTGTAGAATAGTGTTGATTTGTTGTGTGGATCAAGCTATATCTTGTAAGAGAAAATTGTCAGGTTAGCTTGTAGCTGTGTTTATGTAGGTCAGAAGTGGCCTTCTCCTGATGATGGGCTTTCAGAGAGAGAATGTAAGAATGTTTTTAAAAAGCCTATGACCTGTTTGATTCACCCCTAAAGAATAATGTATTTTTCTTTCATTCCTGTCTTAGAAGTTTTGTTTTGCATAAGCTTCAAGCTTTCAGCTTGTTGGTTAAAATAGATGTTATTATGTTTTCATGTGTAAGTTAGTCTTCTGAAGAAAGTACTTGTTCTGTTTGATAAAATTGAAACAACTATAAGCTGTCAGGAAACCTCGAACTTTAAAAAAAAAAACATCAATGGAAGACATTGATTGTCCTCCAGCCATCACCATTTAGAGTAATTTAAAACAAGTAAGTAAGGTGCACCAAAGTGAATAGTGAATTTTGGTCCTTGGTAGTAAGGTCTACCAAATAAAATACATGGTTTTCCTCCTGCCAGCCATTCGTCCATATCCTTCCCAGGACATTAAAGGTATCTGTTGCTCTAAGTTCTATTCCAGTCCTTTACTTGTAACTTTACTGTCTATCTCCTGAGTTGCACATCCATTATTTATTTCCAACTCAGATCTCTTACAAGTTGAATTCTTAGTTCTAGAAGCCTGCTAGATAGATATCTTTATGTGAAGATACCACAAGTTAAAATTTACATGAAAATCTGTTGATTATCTTCTCTAGCCCAAACTAGTTTTATCTCACAGTTATTGACAGTATGTTTCACTTAAGTGCCCAAGCTTTATCTCACTTCTCATATTCGTGTTCTCCAAAGTCTGTGTCCTAAATGTCTGCATTATACCTCTTTCTAGTACAGGTGATTGCAGAACAACTAAAGTTAACTTAAAAAAGAGAACATTGTTTCTTCTTTGGGGAGGAAAAGAAAAGTCTTTATTAAAGAGGGGCATTTTGCCTAAGGAATGACTTGGCAGAAGCTAGATCACTCAACTCTCTCTCCTCTTAGCTTCTCCTTGTGTGTCAAACTTACTCTATTCTACTTTAGATAGACTCTATCCTTTCTTAAGTCATTGGGATTTGAGAAACTGATAAATAACATTAATTTTTGTAAACTTGAGACTGAATAAGGCAACTTAGAAAGTATAATGATAAAAATTAAAGAAGACCTAATAATGGAGCAATAGTGTATATTATGGACAGAATATGGTATTGTAAAGATGTGACTTCTCTGCATGTTGATACATATTGTCAACATGGTAAAAAAAAATTCCTGCAAGAAACTGACAAACTGAATATATCTGAAAATATAAAGTGGTAAGAATAATCAGAACAATTGTGAGGAAGAAAGAATAAACTTGGACAAGCCAGGTGTGGTGGCACACACCTGTAATCCCAGCAACCCAGGAGGCTGAGGCAGAAGGATCACAAGTTAAGGCCAGCCTCAGCAACTTAGTGAGACTCTGTCTCAAAGAAAAAATTGGAAAAAGAACTGTGGGTTTAGCTCAATGGTAAAGTGGTCCTGTGTTCAGTCCCCAGTACAAAATAAATAAATAAATAAATAAAAGAAAGAATAAACTTAGAGGACTAGAAATATGTATGTCATTGTCTATTATTCATTAAGTCATTGTGGTACAAGGATAGAAGAACAGATGGGGGTAATGAATAGAGAAATAAACTACACAAATCAGCTTGATTTATGGCAAAGGTAGCAAAGCAGTGGGCAAACTTTAAGGCTTTAAATAAATAGTAACAGTACTGGAGTAACTGGATATCCATATGGGAAAAAATTAATCTCACAGCATTCACACAAGATCAGTTTTAGGTGGATTATGTTTGTGGGTATGAAAGGTCCACAGTTTTTAGAAGAAATATAGGAGGATACCTTCATAAGTAGATTTCTCAAATGTGACACGTAAAATTATTAATTACAAGCGGAGAAAAGTGATAAATTAAGAATATTTAAAAGATAACATTAAGAATATGAGAAAATATAATATATTATTTCTAGTAGAACATTCATGTTCATAATATATAAGGAACTTTTGTATTTCAGTAAGAAAGAAGATAGATTAACAAAAGATTTCAACAGGCACTTCATAAAGTAAGATGATTAATAAACATGAAAAGATGTTCAGCCTTATTAGTTATCAAGAAAATTCAAATTAAAACCATAGTGAGATATTACTGTGTACCTACAAACGTAGCTTACATGAGAAGGAGAAAAATACCTAAGTTGATAAGGGTGTAGAGTAACTGGAACTCTCATATACTGCTGCTAGGCATGTAAGTTAGTACAGCCAGTTTGGAAAACTGTTTGGCATTATCTACTAAAACAGAACATATGCATACTTGCTGACCCAACTCATTCTCTCCTGAGTATAAAACCAGCAGAAATATATTCATTTCTTTGCTGGAGGACAAATAGCAGTGTCTTATGATACTTATGATAGCCAAAAGAAATTCTAAACTACCTTAATGCCAGTCACCAGAAGAATGAATAAAACAACAATGTGATCTTTTTTATACAAAAGAATAGTATATAGCAATTAGAATAAACAAATTACAACTATACATATCTTCACAAATAGATCTCACAAGTGTAATGATCAGAAAATAAGGCAGACTTATGAAGGAATACATTATTATGATTCTATTTAAATGAAGCAGACAAAGTTCTCTCCTACTGGGCTGGGGATGTGGCTCAAGCGGTAGCGCGCTCGCCTGGCATGCATGCAGCCCAGGTTCGATCCTTAACACCACATACAAACAAAGATGTTGTGTCCGCCAAAAGCTAAAAAATAAATATTAAAATTCTCTCTCTCTCTCTCTCTCTCTCTCACTCACTCACTCTCTCTTTAAAAAAAGTTCTCTCCTACTGATAATCAAAATAATGGTTTCTTCTGTAAAGAGAGAATGGTACCTGGGGAGATGACATAGGGTTATATTTCTAGAATATTATTAATGTTCTGTTTTTAGCTTTGTTCTGTTTCTAACTTTAAGACAATGTACATTGCTCTTGTATTTGACAGTTTTAATGTGCTTTTCCTGAGTGTGTGACAAATTAAAATAATTAAAGCTATAACTCGTATAAATGTCTTCCAAGTGCAACATTTTTATGAATAAATTAGCAATGTAGAAGTATGAGGTCATGAAATTTAAATGTTTATTCTTAAAATTTATTATTAAGCCAAATGTAATGACACATATCTGTAATCCCAGTTCTTGGGATGTTGAGGCAAGAGGATCATACGTTTGAGGCCAGCCTCAGCAACTTAGCAAGACCCTGTCTCAAAATTAAAAATAAGTAAATAAAAAGGGCTAGGGATGTAGCTTAGTGATGAAGTGCCCCTGAGTTCAGTCCCAGGGGCGATTATTAAAATTTTTCAGTAGAATAGATCTTGGAAAAAAAGGCATTTCCTCAAAAATTTTCCCTGTCTTTGTCAGGAACTATAATTGGTACTTGATCGCAGTAAGAATATTTATTTTTCTGAAGCTTTATTTCTCTTTTCACAGACAACAAATGAGGTTGTTTTGGCTGTGGAGTTCCACCCAACAGATGCAAATACCATAATAACATGTGGTAAATCTCATATTTTTTTCTGGACATGGAGTGGCAATTCACTAACAAGAAAACAGGGAATTTTTGGGGTAAGGATCAGAATACTCTATAGAACTATAGAACTTAAATCTTTTAAATTGTTGAGTAAGTATAAAATCATCATACCAAAGGGAAAACTTAAAAATTCTCATTTATTTGTAGAAATATGAAAAACCAAAATTTGTACAGTGTTTAGCATTCTTGGGGAATGGAGATGTTCTTACCGGAGACTCAGGTGGAGTCATGCTTATATGGAATAAAACTACTGTAGAGCCCACTCCTGGGAAAGGACCTAAAGGTATGGTGTTCTTATATTAAACTCATTCTATATAACTCTTACATAGTGCTGTTGCAGTCCCAAATCCCAGAACAGGAGAGAAGGCGTTGCAATGGAACAACATGAGGGTCATCAATATACTTTTCGTTTTTAAGAGTCTTCATAATCTTGTAATGAGATTTTTTAGTTATTTATTAAGCATATATAACTTTCATTAGCCTCTGGCATATTAATACAAAATAATTAGATGTAGATGCATATACATTTTAAAAGTATAAAGGCTCACTCTCCCCTAGGGTGGTGTTGGGGTAGCTGTAAACAGAATGCATGACCATGCAATGAGATAGGAAAAGGAAGAAAAAAAGCATTTGTTCCCAGCCCTAGTTCTGGGCCTTGACAGTCTTTCTGCATTTCATGAAAACAGTTTTCTTCACAAATATAAATATGCTTGGTCCTTTTTCTTTTGTGGCAGAGGGAGCCACAATTGCACATGCTCGGCAAGTACTCTACCACTGAGGTATATCCCCAGCACACAGGCGTTTGCGCACACACCCCTTTTTTTGAGAGAGGGCTATCAGTTTTGAGATGGTCTCACTAAGTTGCCCAGGCTGGCCTGGAATTTCAGATCCTCTTGCCTCACCCTTCCAAGTAGCACAAGTAGCTGTGCCTCCACACTCGGCAGGATGTTTTGTTCTTAATGTCCATTTGAAACCAAATATATGGATTGATTTTGCCCTTTTTCTATAGTAGATGAACAATAAACTTGAAAAATGTTCAGCATACTATGTACTTCTTTCAGAGTAGAAGATGAAAAGAGAAAAAATGGAGACATGGTTCTAAAAGTATGGGATCACAAACACAAAGAGATTTTTTATCACCATCTCCAGGCAGTAACAGCAGACATAGAACTAGCTGGCCAGTCAGTCCTTGAGGATCTACCAAAAAAAGAGAAAGAAAGGATGTGATGGGGAATGAATCTGGGGATTGGCAGAGCAATTTAACTTGTTTATCCTTTTTACCCTAAACACACTCAAGCTACCTCCTTACCTGTTGTGTCCCTAGAGTCCCTTCATTAGACCACAGAAAGCATACTGAGTTTAGAGTAAGAGAAATCCCACCCACCATCCCGCCTATAAATTCCAGCACATCCAGAGGCTGAGGCCAGGGGATCACAACTTCAAGACTAGCCTGGGCTACTAAGTGAGGCCTTCTCTAAAAATTACAAAAGTTGGAGCTGTAGATGTGGCTCATTGGTATAAAGAAAGCACCCCTAGGTTTAGCCTATGATATTGGAGGAAAAATAAAAAAGGAAGACTGAAACCCTGTTCCCCTGCTCAGAAAGACCCAGTTTACATGTCTATCTTTTTCAGTAAACTTTTCCAAGAATACCACAATCTCTGTCATTTTGAACTAGGAGTTTGAAAATTGTCAAACATTTTAAAAGGAAATTACTTTAATCTTAAATTGCAGTGTCAGTATAGGAGTAAAAAGAGTACTATTGATTAAAGCACTATTTTCACTGAATTGTGGAATTTAAGCATCATAATTGTCTTGTTATTGTATGGATTTTTATACTTTATTTTTCAGGAGTTATATAATAGATTGTTTTAATTTATGTTTTTCATATCCATTCACCTTAATTTCTAAGCCTGGCAGTTGAATTGAATTAAATACATGCAATCATTAAAAAAATCATCCTTACGGGGGCTGGGGTTGTGGCTTAGCAGTAGATGCCCTTTTTCTGTTGGGTACCTCAGAGCCAGTTGATAGATACTGTGTGACTGTCCCACCAAACACATTGAGTGTTCAAAGCTTAGTATTTTTAGGTAATGAATATCGATGTGAGCCTGCTGAGTGTTATTGAAGTAAACTTCAATAACAAGTTTATTGAAGTTTCTTGCTAATCAGGCAAGCTTTCCTCTAAATCAGAAAAGACCCTTCCTTACTTCTGCCAGTTACACCTATCCATTAAGTATTTGCACTACTAGCACACTCATAATTGAGAATTTTTTAGAGTCATCTCTAGCTGAATTTTTTTCAAATATCAAAACCTTACAGATTTTAGATAATTAAAAAAATATATAATGACAGCGCAAACAGAAAATGAATTTAAAAAAAGACAAACTCAAATTTTAGTTTTTATTGGGATATAATAGTACATATACCATAAAACTTATTCCTTTGGAAGTGTACTATTCAGTAATTTTTGGTATATTCAGAGTTACACCACCATCACCACTGACTTCAAAACATTTCATCATCCCAAAAAAAGAAACCCTGTACCCACTAACAGTTATGGCCATTCCCCTCAGTCCCTTGCCTTCTAGCAGCCTATTATCTACTTCTGGTCTCAGTGGATTTCCCTGTTCTGAACATTTCATATAGAATTATGTAGAGTGTGGCCTTTTGTGACTGACTTAATTAGCATAATGTTTTCAAGGATCATCCATGTTATAGCATTTGTTAGTACCTCTCTTTTTTCTTTCTTAATATTGTATGTACATACCACATTTTATTTATCCATTCACCAGCTGATGAACAATTTTAGAAAATGAACAGTTTTTAGACTTTTAATTTTTTTCCCACCTTTCCTTTTGGTCATGTGTAACCAAGTATTTACCTTCCCATTTTGAACCTGGTAATTAATTCTTCAAGTCATCATCTTCCAAAACACTTTTCTCTTGCACTACTAGCAGTTTCGGTCTACGAACTGAGTAAGCATCATGAATACCAAAGAGAACGGCTTGAGTTTTGTAAGCTTATCTTGACCCTTAATAAAGGCAGTCTGATTAGAAAATAAAAAATGAAGGGCAAAATATAATCAGTTATCACACATGATTTTACTTAAAATATTGTTTATGTACTTATGTTGTCCCTCTCTGAGTACTTAGTATTGTGGGCATACAAGAAAGTCCAGCTGTCATTTAGCCTTCACATTTAGCCTGATCAGTTTCTTAAATACTGAAATTCTTTTCTGTTAGTTGATCAACAGCTACTGCTAGGAGCATCCATTATCCACCTTTGCCCCAAGAACTTCCTTCGTGCCCATCTCAACACATAAAGGGAGTAATCAAAAGAGTATTTCCATCCTAACTACTATACAAAACAATTATAAGAGATTACAGTCCAAGTTTGAGGTTAAGATATATTTTATAACCTCTTTGTGGAATTGTTATTACTACTTTAGCTTACAGTTTTGATATATTATTTTAAAATAATTTTAGAGTAAATAATGACATAAATGCAGAAGATAGTGTTAAGTCTTATGTTTTACTACTTGCTTTGCAGATTTCCTGAAACTAGGTTTTAAATTATTGAATCATGAACTTCTGCTAAAGCTTTTTCTAGAAAGACACAAAGTCTGATGAAAAGTGTTATCACTAGTGTTTTTATTTTTCCCCCACTATATTAGGTGTATATCAAATCAGCAAACAAATCAAAGCTCATGATGGCAGTGTGTTCACACTTTGTCAGATGAGAAATGGTATGTTATTAACTGGAGGAGGGAAAGACAGAAAAATAATTCTGTGGGATCATGATCTGAATGCTGAAAGAGAAATAGAGGTAAGGATGGAAATGGAACATAAACATATAGAAATATTTAAGCTTTTACACTCATGTATTTTGTACATGTTAAGATAACTTAAACATTCTTATCATTTTATTCCCTCCCTGTAGAAAAGTTTGTTATTGTACAAAATAGTTATTAAAAATAATTCAAAAGAATATTAAAAATAATTCAAAAGAATTTTTAAAATGATCAGGCAAACAGTGGGCTTAATAAGAATTGCTAATTATATGTGGATGTGTCTGCTTCAAGCCACGGAACAGGTATAGCCAAAAAACCTGACAGTTACCATGTGCTCATTGAAAGTTTGCTAATTGAATTGTGATCTTGGAAAGTAAAATGGTTAAGACTAGTATTATGGAGATCAAGGATTCTTTTTTCTTTTTTAAAAGCATATAAAGCAGGATTTATTTAAAAGTGGGTAACATAGACTCCTCCCCAGAGGGAGAAGGGGGCCATAGCTAGTATCCTGGTATCCCAGGAAGTGAAGGTGTAGGACCAATGATTCTTAAAGCAGAGCAAATTTCATAGAGATTAATATTGCTCCTATTTTGTTGTTGTTGTTGTTCATTTAAAATTTGAGTCTAAGCTCAGTGTTTTTTCTAAACATAACTGGCTTTCAAGTATTCTTAAAGAAGAGGATTCTGAACTGGGCATGGTGGCACAATTTTGTAATCCCAGTGACTCAAGAGGCTCAAGAGAACCACAAGTTTGAGGTTAGCCTCAGCACTTTAGTGAGGCTGTGTCTCAAAATAAAAAAAGCTGGGGATGTGGCTTAGTTCCAGCACCAAAAAAAAAAAAAAAAAAAAGCAGAAGAGGATCCTGATAGTACTCCTTGGGTTTCATTTACAAGAAGATAATACAGCTGCTTTATCACAACCTTATAAATTCATAGTGGAAATGCCACTTCCTTTACAAAAGGATTGTTTTTTCCCCAGGCCCGAGTTCAATCCCCAACACTACAAAAAAATAAAATGGATTTAAAAATAACTGAAGCAAATAATATTGATAGTAATGCATCATAATTTCTGTGTAAGATAAAATGCATTTATTTAAACAAATAAATTACTAATAGTATGAGATTACCATATTCAAACTTAGAATTCTGTCATTTATTATCCCATAATTGCTTACAGCTGTAACTTCAGCCATTGTTCAGGTAATAACTAATGCTTATTAGTATGTATAAGGTAAACTTGGAAATCTGCTTTTTCTAGGTTCCTGATCAGTATGGCACAATCAGAGCTGTAGCAGAAGGAAAGGCAGATCAATTTTTAGTAGGCACATCACGAAACTTTATTTTACGGGGAACATTTAATGATGGCTTCCAAATAGAAGTACAGGTAAGTTTATGATGTCAGTGATTAACTGAATATTTTTGATGGTACCCTTTGATGTTTATAATGGTGAATGTCTTTTTCATTTTCAGGGTCATACAGATGAACTCTGGGGTCTTGCCACACATCCCTTCAAAGATTTGCTCTTGACCTGTGCTCAAGACAGGCAGGTGTGCATGTGGAACTCAGTGGAACACAAGCTGGAATGGACCAGACTTGTAGACGTGAGTGGAGCAACATGGAATTAATAGTTTCCCCACAGAAACTCCTCACACTGGCATTTGGAAGCAGCAAAGGGCTTTGAAAAAGGACTGAGCATTATGGTTTAGTAAAGGGCCAAGGGTAAGAGGGAATTGTTTAGTGTCAAGGTAAAATATATGAATTCTTTTAAAGAAGCAAGTTAGCAGAGTGAAGCTCTTTTTTTTTTTTCTGTCAATTTCAGTAGTAAATATCAAAGATTTCACATATTTATAGCATAAATTATTATGGAATATTCTGGTGGTGTTACAGTTGAATTCAGTAAGTGCTGCTCACTAACAGACTCTACTATCTTCTTTTTGAGTAGTCTCTTGCTGTATTTTCTCCCTATTCCACCCAGATATCCACTAAAGTACTATCTAGATGTTGTTATTATTCCTTATGTTGTTTCACTGCCTAGTCACAAGCTGGTTGCCCTTTTCCCTTACCATTCTACCAGCATATCTTACCCTTCATGCTTTGAAATTCTTTTTCTTCTCATATCCATGTAGTGTTTCACATTGATTATAGTAAAGTTGATCAAAATTTCATGTTTATATGAAATGAGTTATTTTCAAAGATTTTGTTCCACTGTCATAGATCTAGGGAGACCTTCTTATGTACTCCCCAACAGCTGTCTGTCTCTCTTCTAGGAACCAGGACACTGTGCAGATTTTCATCCAAGTGGCACAGTGGTGGCCATAGGAACGCACTCAGGCAGGTAGGGTCTTTGAGTGAGCTGAGTAATCGGAAATGGTGGGATGTTTGAACGGTTATTCAGGAATGTTCTTGATCTGATCTGGAAGATTGATCTTCTAAGTGGCACACTAATATGCTCATTGATCTTATCTGATATGGATGATTGTTCAACCAATCTTATTAAGCACCTACCTACCATTTGCTATATGCTATTGTGGGCATTCAGGATAAGAGCAAAACAAAAACCTTTGTGGAGCCCATATTTTAATGTTTGTCAGGAGTGGAAGCAAAATAAAAATTATAACTAATTATTTTAGAGGGGAGGGAAAATAACAGTGGGAAGTGGGGTTGCAAAATGATGAACAGGTGGTCAGGGATAGGCTACATTGAGAAGATGATAGCAGACTCCTTTCTTCTTTGTAAAATTAGAAATATCAGAAAAAATTTCTCATTACCTTTTGTGCAGGGAAGGGATTTGAAGCTAATATAACCTAGTTGAGTTTTTATATATTGTTTATGCTATAGTGTTTGCCATCCTGCCTTTTTTTAATGATACACAGATACACATTGAAGGTGTATTTTCTGAAATCATTAATGGCCTGGTCTTGCAGACCTTGGATATACCCTCTAGGATTATTTAGTAATACATATTTATTACTGTATATTTTTAACTAACTTCTACTTAACTGTTGCTGTTTGCAGATAATCCTATAGTTAGGAATTACAAATAACTTAATTTCTTTCTTAAGGGAGCAGAGGAAAAAATAAATGTCATTTTCACAAAAGTTAAAACCCATTAAAAATGTAAAATGCTCATTTCTAATGGAATTGTAAACATTCAGATAAGTATTTTTTTTTATCTGACTTAAACATTTGAAATCCACTAGCTCATTTACTTCTAAATAAATTTAGTCATTTAAAAGCTTTTTAATAACAACTTTTCCCCTTTGACTTTGGAATACAAATTAATACCTGAAAAGTGGAAACAGTCAAATTTCTTCTCAAATATAGTGCTGCAGATTCTATTAGAATTATGGAAAAACAAGTCTTTAAAGCAAAAATAAGTAATTTGGGATGTTTTTGAAATATTATTTGAGTGTTTCTGAAATCTCTTAAGTTTTAGAATTATGCTGTTTGGTATGCTAATTGGTGATAACTTGCAAATATTTAAGGCTCTCCTGACTCAAATTTCCCCAAAACTCATGCCAGTAATAGACTTTTATCAAGTTTTAAAACATTTAGACTTGGACCAAATAGATGTATGATAGGTTATTTTGCAGAATTTAATTTTAAAAAATTATTTTGACCAAAAATTTGGTCTTAAGTACATTAGAAACCATCTAAACTATAGCAGTTATCTGGTTTTAGGAAAACAACAAAGGATTCACTTCAGATCTGTATTTTTAGTAGCTGAACAAATACCACAAATGCAAAAGTCATCAAAATTAGAGTAAAAAAGTCATTTGCTCAGCATCAGGTCATGTGCTGAATTTTTTTATATATTACTTTTAATCATTATCAAAGTGTGACAGAGTGTTTATTAACATTATCATTGAGGATAAACAGGAAACCAAGACTCAGAGTTTCAGTCATTTGCAGCTGAGCTGGGGTCAGCACTCAGGCATTTCATGGTTCCAGAGCTTATCTCTGCTCAATCAGTGCTCTTTGAGATGTTCTTATTCATGTTTATAGCACTATTCAGCAATAACGTAAGGAAAGTTTATATTTAATGGTTAAATTATTAACATATTTTGAAAGTATTTATTGTATATATAAGAGAGTTAAATAATAAACAGTATAATACTAGAGCATTAATTCATGAAGCCATTGCTTGATTGGATGAAGAGATATATGTGTGTTCAAGTATGCATACATACTTTTTTTGCTCTCAAAATTTGCTCTGATTAAAACCCAGTGAAAGAGCTGAGTTATAGCTCAGTTGTTAAGAGTGCTTGCCTCATATGCACAGGGCCCTGGGTTCAATCTCTAGCACCACCAAAAAAAAAAAAAGAAGAAGAAAAGAAAGAAAGAAATTACTTTCTAATATTTATGTAGCTGTGAAATCATCATTGAAAATCTTTAAATGAAGTCACTCAATTTAAGTGACTTATGCTAAAGTTAAGCTAGTTGTTTCCTCTTGGAGTTATAAGTAGAAAACACTTTATAAGTGAGAGAGATGTAATAACTGAATGAGTAATGCTGGCAGTCTATTCTGTCTCATGTGGAGTTGGGGACTGTTTTGAATCCGAGTTGTAGTTACCAGTGTTCATTCTGTACTTTATCTTTGGTTTCACATCTGGTTAAGTTCTTTTGATTTTGAGGGAGCTTTCTCATTTGTTTTTATTTTTTACTTTGTATGTGAATATCTATCCTGTCTAAAACTGAAAATACATTAATGTAGATTACTATCACTAACTTTTTTTGGGGGGGGGGTACCAGGGATTGAACTCGGGGGTACTTGGCCACTGAGCCACATCCCCAGCCCTATTTTGTATTTTATTTAGAGACAGGGTCTCACTGAGTTGCTTAGTCCCTCGCGGTTGCTGAGGCCAGCTTTCAACTCTTGATCCTCCTGCCTCAGCCTCCGAGCTATTGGGATTATAGGCATGCACCACCGTGCCCAGCACTATCTATCACCTTGTTTTCTTTTGTGGCTGTGGTGGGGACTGAACCCAGGGCCTTATGCATGCAAGGCAAGCACTCTGCCAACTGAACTATATCCCCCATTACTAACTTTTAAACCTGAAAAAAGTGAGACTTTTAAAAATAGAGTATAGTATATGTCCAAATTGCACATAATACAGAAAAAGTAACTAGTAAAATGTTTAAAAATGTCTTAAATGTTCATGTCTAGATATTTTCTAATTCATGTAACTTAAGAGTAGGCACAGTGTGGATAAATTGCCACAGCTATAAATATAATATCATTTCTAAGAGAAAATATTATGTCATTTTTAAGGGAAAAAAATTAAATACATGGCCCTCCCTAGGTGGCCATAATACTTTCTTAACATGATAATGCTCAAACAGGAAGGATTCTTTTTAACAGCTTTATAGAAATATAATTCCCATACCATAAAATTTACCAACTTATCAGAATATAATTAAGTAATTTTTAATTAAGCTCATAGGGTTGTGTAGTCTAATTTCAGAATATTTTCATTAAGAAATCTTGTACCCTTTATCAGTCATTCATCTTGACCCCACCTACCCCTACTCAAGGTGACTGATCTACATTGTTTCTATAAGTTTGCTTATTCTGCATATTTCATATTAATGGTATAGTACAACATGTGGACTATTGTGACTAACTTTTTGAAATCAGCATAGTGTTTTCAAGGTTCATCTATGTTGATTCTTTCATGTATAGCACGTATTTCATTCCTTCTTAAGACCAAATAATTCATTGTATGGATATACCACCTTCTTCAATTGATGAACATTTGGGTTTCCACTTTGTGGCTACCATGAATAATGCTGCTATAAACATTTTTTTTTTAATATTTAATTTTTAGTTCTCGGCGGACACAACATCTTTGTTGGTATGTGGTACTGAGGTTCGAACCCGGGCCGCACGCATGCCAGGCGAGCGCGCTACCGCTTGAGCCACATCCCCAGCCCTTCTATAAACATTAATACATAATTTTTGTGTAAATGATTCATGCAGTAACTCTTAATGTTTAACATTTTAAAGAACTACCAAATGTTTTCACAACAGCTATCTTAATTTGTAGTCCTACCAGGAATGTATGAGCATTCTAATTTCTCCACATCTACACCAGTGTCTTATTATCTGTATTTGATTATAGCCATTCAACTGAGTGTTAAGTAGTTTTTCATTATGGTTTTCATTTACATTTTTCTGATGGCTAAAGATGTTGTGCATCAGCCTCTTTTCATGTGCTTATTGGCCACTTATGTATCATTTTTTAGAGAAATGTAGGTTCTAGAATTGTTGAATTGTAAGAGCTATATATGTGTTCTAAATACAGCCCCTTATCAGAAGTATGAGTTGCAGATATTTATTTTTCATTCTTAGGATTGTCTTTTCGCTTTCTAAATGTTCTTAGCAGCCTAAAAACTTTAATTTTGATGTAGTCCAGTCGTTCTGTTCTTTCCTCTTCTCTCTTGGTTATAGAGGTTTATTCCTATATATTCTTCTAACAGATTTTTTAATTTCAGCTCTTACTTTAGGCCTCTGATTGCAGCTTGAGTTAATCTTTGTATATGGGATGAGGTAGTGTCCAACTTCATACTTTTGTATGTGGATATCCAGTTGTTACAGCACTCTGATATTGGCACCCAGTTGAAAATTAGTTGAACATAATATATATAAACATATAGGAATGGAAACACCAGGATGGAAAGAAGAGTGGACATACTGAGAGAAACAGGTAACTTCAAAGACCCTAAAGTTTCTGATCTGCAGTGATAGCTTTGACAAGAGGGCAAGCTAGAAAATGAGCCTGGTGAGTAGGTAGATAAAGAAGTAAAATTAATCTTTAACATGGAATCATAGAATCCTACATGTGGAGATAATTCAGTGACCCTGTTCAGCTGGTGGCAGCTTCAACCTTGCCAAACCAGTAACTGTTACCACGTTCCAGCTATGAAAGTTCTGAGCCTAAGAAATATCCCTTCTGTTCAAAATTGAGGTGTCAGATATGTTAGCAATAGCTAAGACTTTTTTTTTTTTTACAAAATTAAAAGAGATAACTAATTAGAAGAAAATAGAGATCCCCCTATATAATTTGACGTACTTTAACCTTTTCTGTGTACTCCAGAGTTCATTTCTTAGAGTGCACATTATCTTTGAACTCCATTAGTAATAATCTCTCTGGGTTCTGCCTTGTTTAAACTACAAATCTGAATCACTTTTCAAATGTTTATGGGGCGCCTGCACTTGCAAAGCACTGTAGATGATTCAGTGAGTGTCACAAAGAAATATGAGATATGATCCTTATTCAAAGTAGATCATAACCAAAGTGGATTATAACCTAATTAAATACCACATTAAAAGAC